ATTAATAGAAAATTATCATAAAAAATTTTTGACATTTTGACATGTGTGTGTTGCGTTTTTGACTGTTGACGGTGCGGTACTAGGGTTGTTGTTTCGGGTGGTTCGAATGATTTGGGTGTTCGGCGCTGAGCGTTGAGCAAAAGTCGTCAATTGATGTGGAAATTACGAAATATTGTATTGTAGTTTTTTGGCAACATTTGTTGCCCTTGAGTTATTATTTTGACACTTGCCAATGAAAATAACATAAGGTGAATGAATTCATATTTTCGTTGAAAATTGAATATTTATTCGTGCAGTGGTGCCAGAGTAGGACGTCATTTAAACTAAGAGCTGTTAATTTGAGTGTATAAATTTACATCATTTTATTGACATTAAAAATACTTTGCGTTTAAGTTAAATTTTTAATTAAAAATTAAATTTTATTTCTTACAATGATGAAGAAATATTCCTCATTTTCCAGCCAGTATTTTAAGTGTCCAACTTATTTATAATTAATATTGCAGCAAATTTGCACTCGCACACAACGTATGCTGAAAGCAATACGAGGAGCACATTTTATGTGCAGACTCGAAAATAAAAATGCACCCAAATGTGTCCAGACGAAATGTCTACTGAACATTTGTGTGAAATGACGATTTAAAAGCGCACAATATTAATAAATACAATATTTTTTTATATATTGCACATATTTATTATTTTTGGTTGAAAGTTTTCAAATTTATTTATTAAACATCTTATAGAGTTTTCACAATGCGAACATATATTTTACCTAATTTTTATCTAATTAACCATACTCGAAATCCTGTAAATACCAACATTCGCTGCCACACCGACATAACATACTATTTCCCTCAATTTACCATCAATTTACTCGTACTCGCACACGGTCTTATATTTTAATTTTGAATTTATTATTTAATGTAGATTTAATACTTATATTACTTATTATTTTAAGGTTTATTAATTTAAAGCATGAGAATATCAGTCAACTACACTATGTAATTGAAATAGGAGTTAAAGTTTTTTTTGATAGAAAAAAGTCTTTGTTTCGAAATGTTATAAGTCAAGGAAATCAGTTCTGCGAAATTTAAGAAATCGGAAACTCAAAAATAAAATTAAAAAACTACAAAAAAATAAGTAAAATAAATAAATATGTTTCCAATAAAAGACAAAAATATTTATCTCAATATATAACCTTAAAGAAATTTTCAAAAAACGTAAACTATAAAAGTAACAAAAGGAAAATTTACTATCCTACTAGGAGGACGGTTTGATAAGTCAGTGACTCGATGTTGTCTGCTTTGAACGGCTATCAAACACCAACTGAACGACGTAGCTCGCTCAAAATTAGAAAGTTGTCCACTGGTAGATTACAGCTGACAGCAGCACTGTTGCATTTGGAGTAACTGCGCGGGAAATTCAAAAAGTCACTGACTTATCACACTGCCCTCGTATTTTATTAATTTCCTTGATGTTTTTTTTTATTAAATGAAATTTCTAATGATATGTTTTCAATGAATTAAAATTGAGAAAAGATATACCATGCTATTTCTTAAGAAAAAGTTATTCACAAGTAACACGTATTACATGAAAACACCATAAAAAAACGCTATCAGGTAATTCCACTAAATCAATTAAAATTATTTTGAAATGCAATTGATTTATAACAATTGAATTTGTTTGGCAGTATTTTTTAAAAATGTGCGTTATTGAAAATAAAGATATTAATTGAAAGTTTCCAAATTCAGTTATACTGTCGACCATATGCATATGTATATGGACATAAAAATCTGTATAAGTTAACACCCTGTATTACTATAACGGCACTTTGCCTGTATACACAATTCTATTGCGCATTAAAATATCTCACAACGCCTACTCGCGTTTGTGTATTTAATTTCAATCGGGCTTAATGCCTGTACTTCTTATAGCAACATTGTTGCAAATTGTTTTCTTTTCATACTGCAAGTATCTTGTAGAAAACATATCAAGTATCATATGAAATACTTGATCGATGAGATATCCAAATACTATTGGATATTAATCTCTGGCTAGTCATCTGGCTATTGACGTCAAAGCTAAAGACGCTTGAGAGGCGCTATAGAAAATAGAAGCTCCAATTCTATAGAATGGAGACAAGAAGCTTCTAAAATATTCTGATGAATTTTAGAAGTCATAATTCGATTGATCAATTCAATCCTGGAATTTTCATTAACGACTTTGGACATCAGAAGGAAAACTTCTAAGAGTCAGTCGTAAGGAAAAGCTGGAAGAAGACAAGTCGCTGTTCGGAATAAAATATAATACGTCATTGGTAGTTGCTTGAAAGATTAATTCCTCGTCTAAAAAATTGTCGGAATAAATTTAAAGATAAATTGAAATATAAAAATAAAATTATATTCAATACTAATATTAAAAATAGTTTATTGAAAAGATAAATTTGAATATATCTAAATTAAGATAAATTGTATAAAATAAATATAAGTGTTAAATTTTAAGCTTCATAAATAAATCATGTCTTTTTTAAAATGAATAAAATAGAACCCATTTATTAATTTACATAGTAAGGTTAGTTTAGAATTTAAATCTAATTGTTTCTTAGTTAATTATAAGTACTGATATATTATTAACTATTAAATGAGACTAAAACATTTATTACGAGTACAGCAACATTAATTTATTTTATTATTAGGTTTGAGTTTAATTACAGCTTAAATTTAATAAAACTCTTAAAATAAGTTAATTTCTAAATTTCTTGTAAAAAAATATTTTATTTTAATTATTTATTTTTTTTTTAATTCTATATCTATTTTATTACCCGAGCAAAACTCACCAAACAAATACTTTCAGATCACTTACTAAATTTGCATTTAAAAATGTTACATCCAAATAAGTTCACAAATAATTTTAAATTTTAAATAAATACTTAACAAAACCAATTATTTTAAATAGAATATGTTGACTTATGCAATTTTTAATATACGTTACGAAACCAACAAACGCAAATATCAATCCTTTCAAAAATTGCAGCAAAATAGTAGGTCTGTTCCACGAGCTACTCATAGTAAAACTCAAGTAAAACACAAGTAAAATTTACACGAAAATACACGAAAGATTTGCTGGTGGAACGCACTTGTGTATACACAGTTTTACTCGAAGTTACTAGGAGTAGCTCGTGGAACAGACCTAATATTTACTATTTCGAACAAGTGTGAAATTTACAATTGTGAAATTGTGAAATTGTGAAATAAAATCTGTGTGCGTGCAATTTTTTTCTTAACACCACAAATGTGCGTGTGCCCGCTGCACCACTCTGTTTTAAACCATGTGCACATATATATTCATATAAAAATGTACGAAATATACCATCGTATATAATAATATAATATAATCCATAATAATATTATAGATAATTATATTTGAGATAATTATATTTGCAACAAATTGAGCTAAATTGAAGCGAGTGGTAACGAGTGTATCCAATTCTGCGCTGCGAATCACTACGCAACAGTTTGTTGTTAGCGATATTTTACCATCTTTAACTAATCGACGCTAATCATTCGATGCTGTCACAGCTTTCTTTCACACTGAAGCTCGGAGATCATTACTTCATGCAATTTCGAAGATTTGATTAAGGCGAGTTAAAATCATAGATATTAATTTTTTTGCGCAGATGTACATTGACTATATCACAATCTATCATTTGCGGTTAAGTGCTTAAAGAAGTTCAAATTAAGTTCGTTTAAGTGGTACCTGTGAATAAAAATGTACGTCTTTTTTGGTTCTACAATTATTGTGAAATGAACAGAATTTTTAAAAACTGAATTGCGCTATTTGGAAAATTATTTTTTAAATGAAATTAATTATTGCCTAAAATTTTGCTAATATTTTGCTAATTGTGCAATAACTAATAATTGTGCAATGCTAATTGTGCATATAACATGTTCTATTTTTTTTGTTGTTTTTGCTGAGCGTCGTTTCGGTGAACTGTAAACTTTGTCGTCTGTCCTTTTTTCCACGTAAGGAACAGTGGTCCAAAAAAGAATAAAAAGGAATAAAAAAGCAGCAGTTTTCGAAGCAACTGGTAGTAGAAATGAATGATTAGAAAACGTATAAATTCATGCTTTGCTTTCAATTTTAAATATATAAAATTATATATTTACTTTAATGGTAATTTATTTAATGGTTTTTGTTGTTGTTGAATGGTCTAATATGCAACTTATATGCAATTTTCATTCCATGCAGTTGCACATAATAAAGAAAACATTCGCATATACAAGTGTATATGTATGTGTGTACAGTTGTGTATTAATTTTTTTTTTTCTTAGCACTTAGAATGTCGAACAATTGTCAAAATGTGCTGCCATCGGCGACGCAATAAGTGGAAGCCGCTTTGCTTTACGAAGAATTAAAATTCCAACAAATTTTGGAGTTGCTTTTTGCACAAATGCATGTGAAAATAATTAAAAACATAATTTCATTTTAAAGTTTTAATACATCTTTAGAATGCAACGCGGAAGAGGTGCGGAATATAGAGGTGGTGGAGGAGAACGCGGAAGGAGTTCTGAAAACAGAGGAGGAGACAGAGATAGACGTGGCGGCGATAATGGTGGTGGTGGCGGCGGCGGCTATCGTGGCAACCGCGGTGATGGTGATGTTGATGGCATCCGTGGCTGGCAACCTCGCGGCGGCGGTGGTGACCAACGTGGTGAACAACGCGGTGGTGCAGAGCGTAGACCTGGCATGTATCGTGGGCGCGGTGATGGACTTGGCAGTTATCCTGCCTCTGAATCATCTGTAAGTAAGAACAAATTTAAGATTTAAAGAGACTTGATTTAATTAATTTTTATTCATTTGATATTAGAGTTTTGGTAGTTTGCCGTCAACAGCAAGTTGTGGATCTTCTCATCAGTCCGATGTGTCCATTTCCAGTATTTTCATGAGTATGCCATAAAATATATTATTTAACCAGACTTATGTTGACGTAAATATTTTCCTTTAGTTCTCCCAGTGGTTCTCCCAGTTCAAACGTTCACCAAAGTCATGATAACACTGAGGCAGCAACTATTGGTATGCAGATTATGACAATAATTATGATTGTTCTTTCTATGATATTTTATATTGTTTCTTTATGTTGTTATATCCATATCTATAGCTGCAATTGACCAAATACGTGGCATGCGGGGAAAACGTATTTTAACTGACGTTATACAACATATTCGACCAGTGTCGTACGTAAATAAGCAAGGTGCAGTTGGTCGTCCAGTTATGGTTCAGACGAACTATTTTCGTCTATTAAGAACACCGGAATCGGTTATACATCAGTACCGTGTTGATTTTGCACCAGAAGTCGATTTGTTACATGTACGTCGTGGAATGATAGGACAGTATGAAGATTTGTTTAGAGGTTACGTTTTTGATGGTACTTTGCTATTTTCTGCACAAAATCTGAAAAGTATAATGGTAAATGATGTCTATAAGATACTAACAAAGGATCGTGCAGGAAATACAGTACAAATTAAAATTAAACATGTTGGCATAGTAGAATTAACAGATATGCAACAGATGCATGTACTCAACTTGATTTTACGTCGATCTATGGAAGGCTTGAAACTACAACAATTGAATCGAAATTTTTTTGATCCAGTAGCTAAAGTAAGTTTAGTGTATGGCAATTGTTTAATGAAGTTTATTTTGCTACAAGCTTAGCTTAGATATTTCATATAAAGTAATTTTAAAAAATTGTTTTAAGTATTTTTGTTTTGTTTTTTTTTCATTCTAGATACGCATTGAGAATTTCCGTTTGGAAATTTGGCCAGGATATATTACCTCTATTCGTCAGCATGAATTGGATGTACTGATGTGTGCTGAAATCGCACATAAGGTATTGCGCACTGATACAATTTACAACATTTTGACTCAATTAGTGAAAGTGTCATCAGATTATCAAAACGCATTTGAGGCCGAAGTAATTGGTAAGTAGTACATAGTAATATAATATAATATACTTTAACTAAAAATACTTAAACATTGTTACAGGCATGGTAGTAATCATACCGTGTGAGTGATGTAGATTTCGGTATGTCGCCCAAATCCACTTTCAAACGAAAGGAAAAAGATGTCACATTCGTAGATTACTACAAACAAGTAAGGAGAAATTCTCTTATAACAAATAACAAATATATAGTCTCAATAGCAACTTTATTTATTCATTTTTAAATATTTGTTTAAAAAAAAATTTATGAAATACTAGATATCCCGGCAAACGTTGTTTTGCCATATAAATTAGTTCTAGTGATTATTATTTTTTTTAAATGAAAGATAATGAATGTATTGTGATTGTGTGACAATGTGCTGTATGATAAAAAGAGGAATTGAGCGCTGTAGACGATGGTCGTCGATCAAAAGGAAAAAACACCAACCATTCGTTTTCTTGATTCAATATATTTCATTAAAATAACGGACATATTCCTTGTTTGATCTCTTAAAAGTTAAATTTAGATTCAAGAAGTAATATGTTTATTCGTCTTTAGCCAACACACATAGGCTTGATAGTTTGCCCACGCGAGAACATGCCACGTGTCCAAACCTAAGCCGTAAACAGACATCGTTTGGCCTTCCGACTTATTGATGGTAAAATAGAAGTAAAATAACCGGCGGTCCAACTTACAGTCATAGAATGTGTGGTGGTGGCATGCCTAACAAATCCAGTGACTCTTAAAACTCATGAACTTTATCTATTGATTCTATATACAGTTTTCAACCTTCAGGCATGCCGATGAGCAATCCGTTCAATGGCTCTGGTGGTTTCTTAATTTCTGGTAGTTGAACTTTTTCTAATGCGCAACACTTGACGACTGAATCTTGTTTGAATTTCATTGCATGACAATAAGGGCATTTTTTGTCCAAAAAACCAATCGACATTATAGATGTGCGGAATATCAATATCTGACTCGTACTCGAATGCAAGACGAAGGAACAAAATGTTTGATGTAGTTGTTGGCGCAGTCGGTCATTGGTTCTGCGTGTGTTAACTACGAACCGGCACCCTTTTCTCCATTCTAATTATCGTTGTTGATTTCGTTCAGCTCGTACCTCTTGTATTTGAAATTCATACAATATATGTTATTGTTGTTGTTGTGGTTTCTTCAGTTAAAGCTTTTACGCACTTTTGCTCTTTTGTGACTCTTTTGTGGCTGGGGCGCTTATCTCTGCCCCTCACTAAGCTTTAACTATACTGGAATTCATATAATTTATTTATTGTATAACTGATGACGGACCGTAGGTCAGCATATCTTCCTGTGGGTTCTGAGGTGGATTTGAGGTTTGTTAGAGCGTGGTTGGGCAGCATATCAACTTTTGTGAATAATTTTAGGGCTCTGTCCCTGATATATTTTTTCACTGAGTCGACCCTTAGATCTCTGCGCATGTCTGTTGTTCTAATATACCATGGAATCATGGCAGTATCTGAGGCTTTGCTGTATGTAACACATCCGTACAGTAGTGGTGGCCTTATTATTTGAGTATATAGTAGCTTTCTTTTTTTGAGGTTGAAGTGATTATTATTGAACAGCGGCTTTAGAAAATGTAGTATTTTTTGAGCAGCTATTACGTTTGCATTTCATTTGTTTATACCAATTGAGCCGTTTGTCAAATGTGACCCCCAGATATTTTATGTTAACCTCCCACCGTATCTCCGTGTAACCGACGCTCACACTTGGAGGATGCTGCCTTCTCTTTCGTGTTATGAATATAGCCTTGGTTTTGTTATTGTTAATTTTAATCTTCCATTTCTGGAAGTATTTCACCATGAGGTCAATATTTCTGGGCGAAATGTACGTGAAGCTCAGAACTTCGTTAAAACATGTCAACGTGTAGCTAGCGGCATGAAGATGCAAATTGATGAACCAAAGTAGTAAGTAATTAATTGAATGTGTATATCTGAATAACTGGTTCAGTTATTTAAATATATTTTAAAACACTAAGCGATGCAGTCGTTTCAATATATTTTATTTTGGTCACACATATTTTTCATCAGTCATTTTTTCGTCAATCATTTTTTGAATCTATTTTTTTTTTGTCAAACATATTTTTTGGTCAGCCACTTTTTTGGTTCATCATTTTTTTCGTTCAACATATATTTAGTTAGTTTATACTGACAATCCTAATAATCCACTTGGGCCAATTGATGGTTTACCGTATAAGAACGGAAAGCTTTAAAAACTACCTCGACCCTTTGACAAAGCCTAAAATGATCTTTGAAGAGTTAAATGTGCAATTAATTTGCTATTTATATTATGAAATATGATTCATTTTCCTGCAGTAACAAATATGATTAGAAGGGATAATATGCTAGCAGAATTATTAGATTAGGTTAACACTTTTCTTTTATATTAATACCAAAAGCTAGTTTATTTCTTTATGCATCTAAACGTATGCCATCTAAGTTTGCCACCATCTTCATCTTTAGGCATCTTTATTGCAAAAGTCAGCAGAATGAAGGACAGAATAAAGATACCTACCTTTAAACTGTATGAAAAGGACTGAAATTTAGTGTGGGCCGCGTTGGAGGAACTTAGTTTCGGGAATGTATGTCCTGGAGCCATTTGTCTAACCCGACGACCAAGCGTTTGTGACCATGTTATCATGTTGATGTCGTATTAACCAGTGCGTATCTGTAAAGAAGAAGAAATTACACGACGATACATGTTTTTTAGGATGTGGGTGGGTGATTGATGTGTCAAGGTGGGGAAGATTATAGGGATTGGGGATATATTTTGGTTAAGCTTGCCATACTCGTAACGTGTTTTGATTGCAAATAGTACAGCTCAACGATAAGTAATTCCAAAATCTTTTGCTTAAACAGACCTTTAGATATATTTGAACGATATGTTTTTGTGCCCACAAAACCCACAAAAATCTGGGACGTAGACCTTTTTCAATTCTAACTCGTATGATGACATTTAAAGTCACCTATCCAACATAATTATATCGCAATTACAATATATATAGTATTTAGATATTCAGCTATTTTGATGTTTTTTTAATGTTCTTTTGTATTTTATTTTAAAGTATCGAAATGAAGGATGACAGAAATAATTCTTATGCTTCAGCTATAGATGCTGCTGCACCTCAAGATCCGCAGATCGTTATGGCGGTTCTTTTCAGTCCCAACGAAGAAAAGTAAATATTAAATATTTCTAAATAATCACGACATTGTTGATATTATTTATTGATTTGCAGATATGCTGTAATTAAGAAAAAATGTTCCGTTGATGGAGTAGTTGCTTCATATGTTGTGACTATGAAGGTTATTGCATCTCGTCCAGAAAAATCGGCTGGTCTAATGTCAATAGCAACGAAGGTTGTCATACAAATAAACGCTATATTGCGTGGAGTTCCATGGATGATTGATATGCCTAATCTTGGTATTATTACATGCGGTTTTGATATATATCATTCAACTAAAAATAAAAATAACTCATATGGCGCATTTGTTTCAACAATGGACATATAGAAGTCATC